CCCTAAACACTAAACCCTCAACCCTCAACCCTAAACCCTAAACCCTAAACCCTAAACCCTAAACCCTAAACCCTAAACCCTAAACCTGTTTGGATTATTCCATGGCCTTCTGGTGTTCGGTGCATTGACTTTCTTTTTTCAACCTACGAAGCCGCCGACGAAGCAGCAAGCTTCAGGAGATTCGATTCCCAAATCCCCAAATCCCTGGAAACCTCAGCCTTTCCCGGCACCTTCTGAAATGTAACCTTTGGGGTTTAAAGTTTAGGGTTTCGGCTCCCTCAGCTCTCTGCTGTGAGGCGGTGGTTGCGCAGCTCGACCCTGAGAGCGGAGTCCTCGACTGCTTGGGACCCTAGCGCCAGCGCCCATCGAGAAACACACACAGTTACAGGTAGAGTTCAAAAGGAGACTTCTGAGCTAGACGGGTTCGATGATCAGCGTTTCTTGTGCTATTCAGCATCGGCCATGATGCAAGCAGCAGTGTTGCCAATTTGGTCGGCTTGTACCGCCAACTAAGCGTCTCGGGCTGGACATGGCTGGACAATTGAACACGATCAATGATACTCGTATGCAACTGTTCCACTCGCATGTTTCTTTCCTGTGCGACAGTGGAACCTTTCCTCCCACACCCCAAGCTCCAGTTTCTGTTTACCTGCCTTTTGCCCGTCGTCACCCCGTTTCCCGTGGCCTGTTTAGGCCTCTTCCACATGTTCCTGTGTGCTCGTCATCCCGTAGTGCCAGGCCCCCCATCGATCTTGGCTCTCTCTGTGAGTGCTTGTCCCCTTTGCCAGCCGAGCAGACCAACTTTATTGAAGACGCGCGGGACGATCATGTTCGCTGGACTCCCAATGCAGTTGTTAGATATCTGTTGCCAGGTTTCTCGGGATTAGACCAGATGAATGCAGTATGAGAGCAGGTAGGAAAACGGCTGATGCGAGAGTCTCTCCAGATATGCAGGCGCTTTCAAGGCCCGAGCTCCGTGCTCTAAACCCTAAGCCCAAAAGGGCGAGAGAACCCTGAGCCTCCTTTGCCGCCATGGGGAAGAAGGGTGCCGGTGACTTCGCGGACAGAGGCCTCCGAAGAACCCTGGTTGACAACTCGGATTCGAAGATGGGAGAAGACATCGTCCAGGAAGTCCTGGCCGAAAGCCCTTTGCGACTCTGGGCTCCTGTTGAGGAGTTGTGTCTTATAGTTACCGTCATGGGGATCTTTACGAAACTATAATAAACTATATGGTTCCCTTGTTATCGTAGCTTAACCTAAATTCTTGAGCAAAACCCAGGATTGGGGGCTCAGGCAAAAGCCAACTTTCAGGAGGTCTCGGAGATCTATCAACTGCGTGGCTTCCGCAGCTGTGAATTGGCAGAGTTGACCCACGTGGACGCCAGCTTGTGGGCTTCTGGGTTGTTTAGGGTTTAGGAGTTTATGGTTCCTTGTTGTTCAGGAATGTTGTTCAAGTTACTATAGTAAGGAAGCCAGATCACTCACCGTAGATCCAAGTTCAGTTCCTTCAAAGCAACAGGAACCCAGGCTTTATCATGGATCGATTGGGGGCCAAGCCACTGGCACTCGGCATCTTTCTGCGTAGAGACTTCATGCGGGCCATGGCGCGTCGTCGTCACGAAGCGGGGGGAAGTGAGCAGTGTGTTTCCTGTGGTGGATCCAGATCGTGGTGCAGGTGCGGAATGTAGGAATGCTTGCATCTTCACTCGATCTCATTTATCGGTGCAAGGCCACAAAGCACCATTCATTGTGGGATTTGTGGATTGGGGTTCCAGTTCTTACAGTGCAGCAAGCGATTGTCCTTGTCATGGTACGCCGTATGTGGTATAGTCTGCGTTACAAACCTTGCTGATGATGGCCCAAAGAAGACTGTGGCAGGCGCAGTGTCGGCGTTCCGTCGGGAAGATGGCTCATCTGGACCCAACAAGAGCAGGGCTGACGCAGGCCGCAAGGCGGAGAGGAAGAGGCTTTTGGGCTTGAGCCGCGCGCTGAAGGAACCTTGGCTTCAACCCCCTAACCCTGAACCCTAAAACCCTGAACCCTAAGCCTTAAATCCAGCTAGTACCCAGCACTGCTCCAAGTAGAATCCTGTGAAACGATCGGGGCCTCCCTCAAAGCCTTGTGAAACTTGTCTGGAATCCACAGATCAAACCCTGGGAAAATCGGTTATCACGCCACCCAAACCCTGAAGCCGTGCTGTCACCTACACCCTAAACTTCCCTAAACCCCATAAGCGCTCAACCGTACCGTCAGGGTTTAGGGTTTAGGGTTTAGGGTTTCGCCGCAAGCCTTGAACCGGAGGACTGCCTGGCACAGCTGGAGGCCTTCCTGGCTTCGGGCTGTCGATCAAACCGAGCAGAGGTGTCCGACACCTGCAGCTCCTGGGCCTTTTTTTCTGTTCCGGTCTTCTGGGGTTTCACACGGGTTGTACAGGGTTGTAGTGTTTGTTTGTTTTTTTTTGGTATTGCTTTTGCATTCCCGGGCTTTCTTCAGGTAGGGCTTTAGGTAAAGAGTTTTTCAAGACTCTCAGCTAAGATGCAAGAAGTGGTTATAGATTATAAACATATTGATCTCTGTAAGTCTATGGGGGTTAAAGGATCTGGCACAGGGTTGAGAAGAGGGTTCAGCGGTTAAGCGACTTAAGATCCTGGGTTTGGTAAAGTTTGGCAGGGGTGCCTAGAAGGCCTCAAGGTGTAAGTTAGAAAACTCTGAGCATTGTAGTTAGTTTTGTCTTTAATCCTGAGGGTTTTTAGAATAATTGTAGTATCCTTGTTTAAGCAGCTTAATCTAAATTAGTTCTCCAGATCGGAGTTTTCAGTGAGTCTTGTTGCATTCCGGAGTATGTTGACCGACGTGAAGTTCCTTAACGCTGGAACCTAGGCTGGCTTCAAGAGCTTTGCTGGGAGGACCTTCCCAAGGTGAGCAAAGACCTGGAGTGGAAGACATCAGAAGGCTGGAGACAATGGGCGCACCGAGCTTGCGAGTCGCTTCGCAGTTGTTGTGGAATGCAGGAGCTGGTTCTGTCAGTTGAGGAGGTCGGCTTTACGCATGACTCCATCTCCACAGCTTTCAGGCAGGGCTCTGCCGCAGGCAAGGACGTCGAATGCCTGGTGGAAGATCTTCGGTGGGGCCGAGTGGATCCTCTGCAAGATCAGGACCTCCTTATCGAAGCGGTGTGCCACAAGGGCCGTGTCCTTTCACTGAACAACCGGCGCCTCTGGGCCTTGAAGCAGCACAAGATCTTGCACGCCGCGTCCGAGGTGCGCGTGCGTGTGCGGGTCTTGCCTTGGAGCGACTCGACGGTGACACGCTTCCTGCAGGCCTTCACCTCACAAGGCGAAGGCGACACCGTCGCCTGCCGCACTGCACTGGAAGGGGCGCCTCCGGAGGCTGTCGTGGCCACGACCTTGGGCCGCGCAGTGATGGCAACACAGGCCTCCAAGCTGGCGGAGCGCCAGGGATATCGCAAGAAGGACACTCCAGGAGTGGCGCAGACGAGCCCCGTGGAGGCGGCACCTCTGGGACCAGGGCCATCGGAGCTCCACCTGGGAGGAAAGACCTTCCCCAGCTGGCGCGAGGCCAAGGAGCACCTGCAGCTGATCCTGCGCGCGAACAGCGGCGGCCGGCCGCTGCCGGAGGCGGACTATTTTGTGGTGCTGGACGTCTTGCAGTTCCACCCGGATCCACAAGCCAAGCGCCTGAAGGAGGTCACCAAGATCACAGTGGGGTCCTCGGAGAAGTTTGCAAAGACCCCATGTTTCTGGATCTGGCGACAGGATGGCTCGGGTGAAGACATCTCTGTGAAAAAATGCTGGGACAAGCTGGACCTGATAGAGGCTCAGTAGTAATCAGTAGTAGAGGAGGGTTTTGGGTCAGGGTTTAGGGTTCTCCATAATGGTCCCGCAGGTTAAAGCCTAAACCCTAAGCCCGAACCTCGAAGACTAAGGAGAAGTCTGTGGCGAAGAAGGACAAGCAGCGTGATGTGTTGGCCGGAGGCCAGCGCTTTGCCGGAGTCCTGGACAGTTGGGTCATTGGCCCGAAGGGGATGAATTTCGGCTGGCTTCGATTGGATTCAGTCCAGGAAAAGCAAGTCCCCACAGCGGCGGATGGCCAGAAGTTGTACTTGGAATGGTCTGATGTGGCTGCGTGGAGCCAAGCTCATGTGAATGCCAACCGAGCCAACAAAGAACAGCCTCCATTTAAAAGAGGCCAGCGATTTTCCTGTGTCCTCTATCAGTGGCGCGAGAATGGTAAGGTCGGGTGCAGAAGCGCAGAGTTGCTTCAGCCTTATCTGCAGTAAACCCGGAGCTCTTTCCTTGCCTTTGGCTTTTTGATTCAAGCTTTAAAAGCATGTGCAGGCTAACCCTCGGCTGTAACGGTGGGGCCTGGTGCTAAGCCTGCTGTGCTGTGTACGGAGACCTTGTCCATGGGGCCCATGTAGCAGCGAGCAGCTTGGACGCGCGCACCCTGCGTAGTAGGCGTTTGCGTGCTTAAATCGTGTGTGCATGTCGTCTGCGGTGCTTCAATCACAGAGGGCGACCGCCCAAGATGTGGGCAAACCATTTGCAGGACGTGTGGCTTCGGTGAGAAAAAGAAGGCAGGCAGCGTCAGCCTAAAACTCAACTCGGATTGGCTGTCTCCCATTCCTTGCAGCAGATCTAGGCAGCTGGTACGACACTATGACTCTGATGCAGCGAGCATAGCAGTGCAAGATTCGGTAACTTGAGCGGTACTTGACGTCGCTCGTATTTCATGCGCTGGTAGAGTGGTGGCGTTGCTCTGTTCGAGAGCTTGGCTGCACATAGGCAGCCGAGAACCATTTGCTTTCGCAAATTTCTCGCTGATTCTGGGGTTTGTGGACTTTAACCAACCCTACACACCCTACACCCTAAACCCCTCACTTGGGCTCAAGCCATTCCCTCAGATTCTTGCGTTTGCCTTTCTTGCAGAGTCACCGAAGCCGCCATGGACCTAAATCCTTTGGCTACCTACGTCAAGGACAGGTTTGTCTTGTTAAGGTTTACGGTTTAGGGTTTAAGGCTAATCCCAAGCCTTAGACCCTAAACCCCCAACCCCAAGCCTGAAAGCCCGAAGCCTAAACCTTTGGATCCTGGCCTTTGGCCCTGAACCTTGAGCCCTTAACTCCAAGCCGAAGCAGCCCAGAAGGAGGGAGAGGGCAAGCGGGTCATCCGCAAGATCCTCATTCTCGAGCAAGGGCATGGCAGCGGTCAAGACGATCTTGTCCCATGAGGAGGTGGGTTTGGGGTTACGGGTTTGTGCGTCGAAACATTGGGGGTGTGGTAAGGGGGTTTAAGGTTTAGGGTTTACACGTTGAAACCCTGAACCCTACATCCCAAGCCTAACCCCTTCAGGCTCCAACACGTAGAGTTGTGAATTCGGGGTTTAGGGTTTCCTAGACATCCTCCGCAGCCCATATGAGGTGGACCTTCACCGAGTTCGCTTCAGTTGAGAGATTAGACTTCGGGTGTGGGGTTCTTGGCTTTTGGGTTTCGGTACCATAGAGCTCGTATAGGAACCTTCACCCACCCCTTGCAACAACCCTTAAAGGAACCCTGACATATACCCTTGAAGGAAGCCTTACATAAACCCTTGAGGCAACCCTGCTAGATCTCTTTCCGCAGCACACCACCTGGAGAGGCCGTGCATCGCATCGATGAAAGCGCAAAGAGCTGGACTCCAAGCTGGGAGGGTGCCGGGGCCAGCAGACATCCATATAGGAAGCTTTAGAATTAGAACAGGGCTGTGGGGCGAAATCATGGTATCATTCTACAGGGACTGTAAGGGGAAACTACTATCAATTATTCAAAATTCAGACTCTCATCTTAGCAGTCTCGATGTCCCTGAACCACAAAACTTCACAGGCCCCGCAAGCCGAACGCCTAATCCGAGACTTCCTCGTCTCCCTACAGAGGAAGCTGCTGTTTCGGGGTCAGGACGTGCCTCCCTTCGGTCCTTCTCTCGCTGCTTCTTTGTGGTCGCTTCTTTCTGTCTGTCTGTCTGGCTGGCTTGAGCTCTGGCCAGAGCTCGAGGCTCAGTCGGCCCGTTGGCCCCTCTCCCCGGTGCTGTCAGTTTTTGAGAGTTATGGGATTGGCCCCTCTCCCCGGTGGGGCTTTCAGATTTTGAGAGTTATGGGATAAGTTCAGGATATTTGAGCCTCGGGGTATAGTATAGGGTTGAAGGGTTGGCTAGTTGAGGGACTTGAGAGTTTGAACTTGGAGCACTTGGTGTTTGCGCATGTCTGCGTCCCATGAGGGATTTAGAATGTAGGATTCCCAGCCGCGGACGCCGCTCTCTCCACCCATCCATTAGACCCACCGGTGCATACCGGTGCTTCAGAGAGGAAGCCGTGAATCCCTCTGGTTCTCGCCCCGATTGCTTGCAACAGGTCACCGATATCTCAGAAGGAAGTTTTCGGCGGTGCATTGCAGGGGTTGTCCCACGAGATTCGTGTTTGACGACCTGCTCCGCCATGTGGGATGAAGGGTCCGAAACCCTCAACTTTAACGTGGGGCTTGGGGGTTGGAGGTTTCAGATCACACGAAGCACGCAGCTTTCGCGAGGAGTCTGCAGAGCCTCACGAAGAGCCTTGAACGCCGCAGAACCAAAACCCCACCGACGCCGAGATCCGTTTATGTTGCCGCTAGTAATGCCAATATTGACAGCAATAATGGTGTTGATCATGTTGATGATTACGATGCTGCTGATGGTGTTGACGATGATGATGATGATGATGATGACGATGATGATGACGATGATGATGATGACGAATTCCTCCTGCAAGCCTCATTTCTTTGCTGTGTTCGTAAAGCACATTATTCAGTACCTTAGTATTTTCCACTGCTGTCGGGATGACTCTCAGGCGTGGCCTGGGTTGTCGGGTGCTACGTAGCACGTTCGGGTCGACTTTGGCAACTGTCTATTCCATGCCCGCAGCCCGTCTGCAGCATCACTGGGTCCGTTCTTGGCTGCACTTTCATTTGCACACGCCCGGCGCAATGGGATGTGTCGCAAGTTGTGCGGTCGGCGACATGCAGGAGTCGACCTCGTGCTACGTGCCGCAGACGTTCCCGACGCCGCCGAAGGTCTTACCACCAGACCAGCGAACGCACGAGCTCTATGTTCGCGAGCTGAATTCTTACCTCATGTTTGTGGCAAGGAATCCGCAGGCTTTCCAGAACCAGGTCCGGGGTGCTCACCGCTCGTTCTCAAGATCAAAGCAGTGAAACACTGAGAATGACAGCAGCAGCATCAATGATAGCCCTAAGCCCTACTCTCCCTCCCAAAATCAACTAAAAGGGACAAGGCTGAAAAGCTTTTTGAATAAGGAAAGGCATCATATTAGGGTTTAGCATCTAGGGTTCAGGGTGTAGGGAAGACGAGCCAAGCTCTGCAGTTGAAACAAGTTGGTGGCTTGACAAAGGATGAAGACTCGGCTTCCCTTTCTTTTACCTTCATGGCACCAGGATCATCATGTTTCAATTATCTGGTGTATTATACCGGTCGGAGGACTTGGTAATCCCTGAACCCTAAGCCCTGGACTCTACATAGGTAGTATAACGTGCCCAAAACCCTGTTCCCGGTGCTAGATGCAACCGGTTGCTGTCCAGTCGTTCTACAGGTGAAGCCTGTGTGTATCGGCAAGTTATGCTCGACTAGCCCTAAACCCCAACCCCCAAACCCCGAGAGCCTAAACCCTAAACCCTAACCCCCTAAACCCTCTGATCTTCATTTAGCCCAATACATGCGCACTGAAACCCGTACGTAGCCCTGCACTCTTGCAATCGGATAACCTTCCTTGGGCATTGCACAGCCCCAGTAGCTAAGATAGGCTGGTCCCCAATGCCCTTACTCCAAACTCGAATTCAGACATCCTGAATGAAACTTCTCATCCAAAGACATCCCACAGGTGGAGATGCGCCTCCATGTGCGTTTGGGCATGTCGCCCGAGAGAAAGCCGGAATCGCGAAAGCAGATCAATACGGCGGACGATGCTGAGTGGGTCACTGTCGTTCTGTAGCTGCGACTTATGATGGCGTTTGCAGTTCTCATTCGCCTGGTTCAGGTTTTCACTTTCGTTTGATCGCACATCTGGCTCCAACCTGCTAGGGCTGGGCCGACGATGCAGAGAAGAGCGAAAGTCATGTCTTGGATCATGCATGGGGAAATGAAGTTCGTAGCAAAGGTGCAGGCAGAATGGGCGCGAAACATGCCCCAAGGAGTTAACCTTGTCCTTCGAACGGCGCCGTTGTGTGTGCTCGATTGATGTGCTGTTGCTCCCTCCGACGGCCAAGCCCAAGGTGGAGCTGGCACCTTTTACGATCGTGTTGTTTTTCTTGTTCTCTCTCTCTCTCTGTTTCTGTCTGCCTCTCTGTCTTTATGCTCCCTCTCAGCGGTCCAACGACGTTGAGTTTCACCCTCCACATACAGATGTTCTTTTTATCTGGGTCGTCTCGGGTGTCACAGCACGGGGACTGTTTGAAGTGCCCCCGGAGCCGTGCCAGGCCAAAACATGTTGGGTTGTTCTAAGCTCGGGTTTCGTGTCCTTCCCTTCGTAGTTTGTAGAAGCAATGAGAATGCTCAGCATAATCAGAGCAACGCTGAGAAGAAGAAGCATCCCTGAACACCCACATCGCTGTCGGCCCTCAGGCCAATTGGCAAATTATTCTCCACTCCGACGAATTGGAGGTCTCTCTCTCTCTCTGTTTCTCTCTGCCTCTCTCCTTCTGCTCCCTCTCAGCGGTCCAACGACGTTGAGTTTCACCCTCCACGTACAGACTTCATTGGCTCTTCGGAGGCATTTCGGTGAATGGGCTCGCCTACCGCGCGATCATTTCCATTCATGTTGGTCTTCTCGGGTGGCACGGCACGGGGACTGTTGGGCTAAATGCCCCTTAACCCTAAACACCTAAACCCTTGGCTGTGCAGAGTCCGATCAGATGTGCAGTGCCCCCGAAGCCGTGTCCGGCCCTGACATGCTTGGTTGTTCTGAGCTCTTCTCTTAGTAGTTTGTAGAATACAACGAGAATGCTCATCATCATCATGACAACGCTGAGCAGCGGTATCCCAAGCGGGACCCAAATTCTGAACAACCCACATCCCTGCCGGCCCAGGCCAATTGGCCAAGAATTATGCGAGATTGCCCAAAGCTTCGGCGCAGTGAAAATGAACCAGTAGTGGAACCTGATTAAGAAACCCTGGTCCTATAGCACCCAAACTTTTCGGATCCAAAAAAGAGCCCTAAGCCCCAAGCCCCCCTAAACCCTAAACCCTAAACCCTAAACCCTAAACCCCTAAACCCTAAACCCTAAACCTAACCGTGCCTGAAGCTAATCAGGCTCCTACACTGAGCAGCCTCAGGCACCTGGTAGCCATACCAAAGCCGATTTTACAGAACGCTTCAGAAGCCTTGGGCCACCCGGACGAGAAGCCTGTTTTAACTTTTCAGCCCCTTTGTAGAATCCAGAACCGTAAACCACCAGAGCACTCCCATAGAACTGTCCTGGAGCCCTCCCGAGAACCCTGAAGAAGCGCCTTCTGCTCCTTTCGAGCAGTCCTGTCCTAATGTTTTTGTCAAAGCTTTACTCTGGTGTTTTAGAAACTCTGCTTGATTTTGGAAGACATCCCAGTCCAGGTTTTCATTTCGTTTCTCGACACCCTAAACCCAAACGAAGAGCCCCAAGGCCTGAATCGAAAACCCAAAAAACGCCTAAATCCTCAAGCCCCGAAGCCCGAAATCCTACAGTAAGCCCTTACAGCCCTAAACCCTCCTTTGCTGCCGCCTTTCTCCGAGGAGCCAGGGGCCCTCAGAAGCTCGAGGTGGAGAGGGAGATCAAGGCTCGGAAGGACACCTTTTGCCCCCGAGTTTCTTCTTTTGGAACCTGGCTTTGAAGTCGGGGGCTGTGGAGGGCCCTGGGGCTGGGGGAAATGGGGCTGGGGGAAATGGGGCTGGCTGTGCGCGAGTTTCTGCTAAGGGAGCCTGTCTTTGAATTTGGGGCCTTCGGCCGCCGGCTTTGGTGTGGCCGAGTTTGGCCTGGGGCAGGGGCTGGGGACCCGGGGGTGGGATTGAACTTGACGGTCTAGGGGGTTCAACATCAACAATGACAAGCAGTTCCTGTTTTTTCTTCTTGCGGGTTTAGGGTTTAGGNNTTTAGGATTTAGGATTTAGGGTTAGGTTGAGGAGGGTTTAGCGTATCTTTTGGGGGTCTATAGGGCATCTAGACGGGTTCAGGGTATTCTCAAGGGATCTATAGGGTGTCTATAAGTTTCTATATGGGTTTCGGGAGTTTAGGCCTTAGGGTTAGGTTGAGGGGTTTGGGGCATCTTTGGGGGGGGGGGGTCTACAGGG